ACATGTGACCTTTCACATGGCTTATTTATGCCGTTATAACATGTGACCTTTCACATGGCTTATTTATGCCGTTATAACATGTGACCTTTCACATGGCTTATTTATGCCGTTATAACATGTGACCTTTCACATGGCTTATTTATGCCGTTATAACATGTGACCTTTCACATGGCTTATTTATGCCGTTATAACATGTGACCTTTCACATGGCTTATTTATGCCGTTATAACATGTGACCTTTCACATGGCTTATTTATGCCGTTATAACATGTGACCTTTCACATGGCTTATTTATGCCGTTATAACATGTGACCTTTCACATGGCTTATTTATGCCGTTATAACATGTGACCTTTCACATGGCTTATTTATGCCGTTATAACATGTGACCTTTCACATGGCTTATTTATGCCGTTATAACATGTGACCTTTCACATGGCTTATTTATGCCGTTATAACATGTGACCTTTCACATGGCTTATTTATGCCGTTATAACATGTGACCTTTCACATGGCTTATCTTGTAAGTACCCTAGTTATTTCTAGACCTAGTACTTCTTCGCCCAATATTTTACATATGCAATAATTTTACGTTGGCGGAATCGGCAATATCAGCCGTAACATCTGCAGGAATATACCATCTGCAGAGGTTAATAACTACTTCGTTTGAGATCTCTACACTCACTTACCTTTTTATTTTATTTAATAGGGCCGGTGGCTAGTCCTTACCTAGGTTTGTTTAAGACTCGCGAGTCACCTGTTAAAGCAACGGCACGTGTGTTCGGGAATGCGTTATAAGGATAACACTGATCGTAAGGTTGAATAACCAGGAGTTCAGTGAGTATACCTTTATCGCTTTACAACACATAACTTACTGAATCAGCCGTGTCCTTACCAGGTACTTCCAACTAGTCCTTAATGGCCCTATTAGTTCGCATATGATTAACTATATTCACTCCTTATATACTCTTATTATGATCGTTAGCAGTTGCACCCTCCAGCTCCCCTCCCCAGACGACGTTTTAATTGGCAATACGGTAATAGTAATTTTATAAAGGTCAAAATATAGGAAATTTCAGTGGTTTTGCTGTATATGGTGGATAATAACTATTTAGTTGACTGATATCCACCCTATTAAGCGCCTAATTGAAATAACAAAAATAATGACTGCCCTTTATCTTAATTTATAGTGGGTCAGTTATACCGATTATTATGTTGAAACCCGTTGTTTGATTAACTTAACCAGTGTTAAGTCTGTTTAGCTCTGTTAAATGTGTTATGCGCCCACAGTCCGATTACGTCATTCGATCACGTTATATATGGGTGTTTTCAGCCGTATTTTAATATTATATTGCCACTATAGAGTCAACTTACTTAACTTGAATTACTGCGTGTCAGTACGCTTTTCAGTGCTCGGAGGTAAGTTTTACGAAAATAAGTCTTAGTGTCTTATCTCTTCTAGTTAATTTTAGGGCTCTGTGGTAATACGGTTAACGCCATATGCTTTTAGGTTCACGCTGGTGACACACAAGGTCTCCTAGTATAGTGGGTCCGCAATCCCACTGAGGCTAGATGGCGTGTACTGCTTGTTGCACCTATGTACTTATGTAAATGATTCCCGATGATGATCACATCCAATTAAAACAAGTGTTCCATGTAACGTAGGATCAAAGGTAGAATGTGGCCGATTACTTAATTTGCACTATTTGTGACAGTTAACTATTTGACTACAGCGTGTACATTATGGTTAACTAACATTTCACCACTTCTGGTAACTACTACTACTGGTGTTTTTAATCTCAGCCTCGTTAATGTAATGTTATTAATGCCATGAATGTTAAATCATCTGTTAACCTAGGTTCTACGGTATGGAAAGGTGTGGTATGAATATGTGCAATTAGACCTTTACCAATACGTTACCCAGATCAAGTGGACTAGATTTCCATTGGCCATCAGAGGTCTATTAACGTGAGTCCTTGGTTACGGCCAATTCTAACGTACAACTCTTACCTAGGTAACTGAAAGTGGCAGTTCACTGAAAGTGGGGATCCAGAAGGAGTACAGGAATAAAATGATATATGTGAAGAAATAAGGGGGGAAAAAGTCAATATTGTAAATTTGGAATTTTCTACCTCAAAAACCGCGGTAATTGGCCCCGGTGGCCCCGGTTTCTAGACGGAGTGGTTACGAGTTCCACTTTACCACACAACAACACAACATCACATTTCCCCTGCACTTTAATCTGACGGAGGAACACTGCTACTCTGATCGGAAGGTGTTTTAAGCTATGTTATGAACCATTTGCCGGCCACTGCTGGCTTATATTAACGAGCCACCGCTCGACCGTGATGGTTCATTATTGACTCCTTTCAACGAGCTATTGCTCGACCGTGATGAGTCACTGTGGGCTCTTTTTAACGAGGCACTGCTCGACCGTGATGAGTCACTATTGTAAATTTCAACGAGTCACTGCTCGACCATGATGAGTCACTATTGGCTCATTTCAACGAGTCACTGCTCGACCATGATGAGTCACTATTGTAAATTTCAACGAGTCACTGCTCGACCATGATGAGTCACTATTGGCTCATTTCGACGAGTCACTGCTCGACCATGATGAGTCACTATTGGCTCATTTCAACGAGTCACTGCTCGACCATGATGAGTCACTATTGTAAATTTCAACGAGTCACTGCTCGACCATGATGAGTCACTATTGGCTCATTTAACAAGTTACCACTCGTAACTTTTCACAGTGTTCCCAACACTTAGAACGTGCCTAATAACACTAAATGATATTCCGCACAATTCTTTTTTTTCGCATATAAAAAATAATCATGACACGTTAGTTAGACAACCATTAGGGTTAGCACCCCTTGGTATGACCCGTGAGTGACGAAGTGTTTAGATCCCATCAATTAACCAGTGTCACGTGATCCAATTTTCGGTCTCCACACATAAACGGTGATGGAGTGGAATTTGTTAATCATGATATAGCTCGTAGCGCAGAGCGCTGAACGGTCACGCGAACTTTATCAAGGTTTGGCATGACACCAGTTTAATGTCCGGGCTCTGTTTAATTTCCTTAAACACAATTTTCGTTACCCCGGTTACAGTCAATGAATGTGGATTTTGGTTGGGTGATAGTGATTATGAAGGTAACCAAGGTAACGCTACGGTGAATGTGAAGTGATCCTAGTTAATAATATACTGGACGCATTGCCTCCCTTCTCCGAAGGTTGGTCAAATATTAACTCTTAAACCTCACTATCGTCATCTCGCTGTGACTGGCGATTAACGATCAAACTTGTAACTTAACACTCCCGTTTTTAGATTTAAAAATTGCTGTGGCAAAGTGCCTACACTACAGTATCTCAGTGTATTTGAAACTTCTTGGTACAATGTCAATATTTTACGAAAGATTACCCGATATAAAAGAAGGGGGTGGCTAGACCCTGAGTTAATGATCCATAAACGGGGATCGATATTACTGTGGATAGCCAATAATGTTGAATACACGGACCTGTTTTTCCTAGATTTTCATCCTGGCCGTGGATTCCATAGTGTGTAGTGTTTCCAAGAAGTGTCCTCTGGAGTCGTTGTTCCCGTCATCACTCGTACTGTGTTTCTCGTCTAGATCCACGTCAGTGTCACTCCAGTATAATATGCGGGAGAAGTTTGTTAACAAATCTTTTAGATCACGTACGCTTTTACTTATGCGAGCTATATACTCGTGTTTGTACTGATAAGGACGTGTTACGTATAATATGTAGGCTCGTATTTCAATTGAAGTACTGTGAGTGAATATATCAGGCCTCAATTAGAGCGTGTTATTAATAATATTTCTCGTTCATTTCCTGCTTCCACACAGGGTACAATACTGCCCGGGGACCCGCAGTTGGGTCCCGTATCAGGCTCCAATTTGTAAGACCCGGCGGTCAGGTGGAAGACTACCGTAATCTACAATGGTGGACCAAACTGTACTTAGATAAACCTAGGGTGGAGTGCTTATTTTAGGCTCCACAAGAGCGCTCCTACAACTCTTGAAACATGATTATGCCTGGCTAGCCGGAGTAACGAGTTCGACTTACCTACATCATGTCCTCCTTCAGGTCCACCAGGGTCCCGAGTTCGTAACGTCCCACTAATATAGTGGTACCCAACCACGGATACTCGGGAGCATTATTCCCGCAAGTGGCGGGAAGGAACTTAGTAATTTCAATCACAATTATAGCTCAGGATATTTCCTGGCTGGTGACTCAATAGTCACATACTTCAGTTTAGAGACTAGTAACATACGCCTATTTAAGGGGGCCGGAATAGAACTTCCGACATCAAGGTAATTAGAAGTAAACATACAATAGTCTTCAATAGAATATTTAACACGTAACCTATTAGCCCGTCCTAGGAGTACTCACCTCAGTATAGGAAAGGAGTTAGTTACAGGAAAGGAGTTCCGATGGGTTGGACTCTAGATATGTGATGATCTCCGCTGTTCACCACGATATGTCGTCAGTGCTCCTCCAAGAGTAGTATTCCATCCTGTCGTAAGAGAGTCCGTTGTAGAGAGAACCCAGGTTGGTGAGGACTGGAGAGAGAGAGCCCCAACTAAGTATTGTGCCGTATATTTATATCCTCCTCGTTAGGAGGTCGTTAATGAGAATGGTGTTATCTTGATTACTTCTCGATTGACTAACTTCGTTTAACGACCGTGGAGGGTTCCTTAGAGCGCTATCTTAACTTAGCTTGATTAGTTATGATTGACTGCGCTCGCTTCAGCTTTGTGATTGCTCCAAAACGCTATCTTGGTTGTCACTTTTATCTTGGTCCTTCCTTTGACGTGGGTTCACCAATTATCGTTGGCTGAAGTCAATTAACTCCGATAATCTAAAGAATTAATATCCAAGAGGCATTACACACAGGTAACTGAACACATACTGGTATGCTGAATACACACCGATATGCTGAACCATCGGAGGTTCTTACAGACAACACTATCAGGGGGATGCAGAGAGTTCTCTTCGATTTGAAGAACAGGGTATTCGAAGGATCCAGACCTTACAAGTCAGATAATCTAGAAGCCATCACCAAAGAGATAGTAGGGCCAGAGACCAAGATGTTAGACTCCTTTTACCCGCGTATAGTGATCACCACGACAGTAGGTGATGTGAGACCTTGTGAGCTCCACTTGTTCACAAACTACGGTACTGATAATGAGTACGCTTGGAAAGCTGCCAGAGCTTCAGGTGCTGCCCCAACTTACTTCTCCCCTTTTGAAAACAAGTATCTAGACGGAGGTGTCATGTCAAACAACCCCACTCTGGACACTCTGGTTGAGATGAGAAAGTTTTACAACAGATCTGACTCAGATGAGCCTTGTCAGCCTAAAATAGTTATCTCCGTAGGGACAAGTTTAGTCCGTCCAGTGCAAGTTAAGGATCTAGACGTAGGGTTCCGCCCTAAGAACCCCATGGAAGCAGCCAAGTTCGCCAGCAGCGCTCTGGAGATGTTCAGTACGTTGATAGAGCAGTGTGCACTGTGTGATGGTCCCATAGTGGAACAATGTAGGTACTGGTGCGACAGTGTGGGTAGTGAGTATTACAGACTTCAGCCTGACATTCAGTCTGTCACGGCCATGGACGAGAAGAGTGATTCAGTTCTAGTTCAAATGTGTTGGGAGACGTGTTCCTGGGTTTATAAAAGCAGAGACGTGTTTGTTATGTTAGCTGATGCGCTGTATTCGGGAACTTGATGCGCTGTATTCGGGAACTTGATGCGCTGTATTCGGGAACTTGATGTACTGTATTCGGGAACTTGATGCACTGTATTCGGGAACTTGATGCGCTGTATTCGGGAACTTGATGTGCTGTATTCGGGAACTTGATGTGCTGTATTCGGGAACTTGATGTGTCGTATTCGGGAACTTGATGCGTTTTATTCGGGAACTTGAGGCGTTTTATTCGGGAACTTGAGGCGCTATATTTGGGAACTTGATGCGTTGTATTCGGGAACTTGATGTGCTGTATTCGGGAACTTGATGTGTCGTATTCCGGTATTCGGGAACTTGATGCGTTTTATTCGGGAACTTGATGCGCTGTATTCGGGAACTTGATGCACTGTATTCGGGAACTTGATGTGTCGTATTCGGGAACTTGATGCGTTTTATTCGGGAACTTGAGGCGTTTTATTCGGGAACTTGAGGCGCTATATTTGGGAACTTGATGCGTTGTATTCGGGAATTTAAGATGCGCTGTATTCGGGAACTTGATGCGTTGTATTCGGGAACTTGATGCGTTGTATTCGGGAACTCAGCATTTTGATCGTGACAGAGTTTCAGGTTTCTAGCCAGGCTAGATTAAGATGACAAAGTTTCTTTGTGTGTTATTTGATTTTAAATTCAGTCGAATTAGTTGTAATTTTATAATACGTTTGATAAACGAGCACAGATATTTTCTTTGTTTCATTATCACGCCCGAATTGCAATATTCAGTCGACTAGATTAATTATCATGATTAATTTACAATTTTCTTAAAGGATGAGGGGACCTTAGAAAAAGTTTTTTTCTCGTGCAAATCCTTTTATTACATTAATCGTATAAACCACTTTAGTGAAATCCGCAAAGTTGTATTTCATTCGCGCGCCGAGATATCCAGCCAAAACAATTTGAACCTGTGACGTCAATTATGTGAGTTGCTCTGATCCGCGCATATAGAAATACAGGTAAGATGAGCGTGCGGGCCGACTAAATTACTAATTAAGAATAAATTAACAATTTACGATACTAACGAGCCTATAACCAATGGAGAGGAGACTTTTTATGGCCGGTTGAAAAAAGAATTATCACCCTACGATAACCATGAGCCGAGATACACCTGGAATAAGATTGAAGTCACACAGAAAGGCATGTAAATTATGTATATTTATAGCTCCCAACGTAACACCTAGCAACACCTGTTTCGTACCACAGTTGATATATCATCATGTCATATCAACACAACACGGTCCTAATAAAAATGGATCGGGTAGGTATGAAATGCATGTCTTCATTCCAGTTGGACAAGCACCAAGCACCAAGCTTTTAAGTTCTAACTCACTATGTGACACTACTTATAACGTAAGCAAGATTTGCAACTATTACACCAAGCAATATTATACCAAGCATAGCAGACGAACACATCCACATTCGTTACGCTTTACACTCAAGTCACAGCAAACTAAAACGGTAAATTATAAATGAGTGTACAACTAAAGGCCGGTACACGCGCAGTGTCAAACCGCACGTGCGTACTCAGATAGGACTAGAGGCGCCAAGGGCCAGCTAGTAAAATGTCTTCTACTACATCATACATTCTTTTTAATTGTGTCCATATCGGGTTTCAAACAAGTCAAAACAAAATAGCAGTTTGTGGTTTAGTTAGCGGATGCTACTTATCTTAGCTATTTATAAATAGAAATACATACTACAACTACAAGAAAGCCTTTCTGAGTTACATTTAACTATTATTATTAAAGAGAATTATTCGTAACTTAGACTAATTCAGTGCAACCAAAGATACCGCTCTCGCAAACGCCAAAGGTAACACGACGTAATTAAAACAGAACCAAGAACAGAACAAAATGTTGACACGAGCAAAGGGTGCGCGCGCACGTTGGTCTTAACACATAAGTGACGTCACAGCCCAAAATTGCTATCAGCCAATAGGAGCGCGGCGTGATATTGCACGAATTATCGATTTCACAGTCCGGCGTATTTTTTGATTCTACACACTTTCACAGGACTTAAACGCGAATATTTGGAAGTAAATTCTAAGGTCCCCTCATCCTTTAAGTTGGCGCCGTAGCATTGTTTACCAACTTTTGCAATTAAGTAACCTATTGTTATTTTTTTATATAGACAGATCTGATTAGACAGCTTGTCCCACACTAGAATGCGTGGTAAATATGCAGTTTGGTCTAAGCTTCATGAGTTCATGTAGTTACTTGTACAAACTTGCAGAGAAATAACTGAAAGTAATCCATATTTGGCTTTAGTATCATTAACCTTTTAAAATTGTTCCAAAAGTGATGCGAAGCATTATACGTTATATGTATATAACGTATAACGGTATATACCGTGTATACACGGTTTAGAGTGAAGATTAATTATCAAAATTGATATGATTACTAGTGGTGTCTGCAGTTGCTACTGCTACAAATAGACTGTTGAGTTTTGGTGCAACTAATAAATAAGGTAATAAGACGCGTGTATATTGCTTCCTTTTTGTGATGGCACAAATATTGATAGATTGAACATTCATAGTTTTAAACGGTGATGTTTTAAAAACCTAATCATAAAGATATCAGACTGGAGAATTATAACTAAATCTAATAGCTACACAGCGAGGGCGGGGTACTGCAATCATTGTCTTGACGTTACCTACCTATGTCACCTATGTTGAGATTCGTTAGGCTTTAACAGGACCATCACACTGTGTGACCACCCACAGAGAGGAGATCTCTCTGTCATTCCTCCAGCAAAGCAGCGAGTTTGAGTTCTGAGGAGTGTAGCCCCTGATGGGCGGTGTATCCGGAAGAGACAGCATGAACTGGGTGAGCTGCGATTTGAAATGCTCTCGGTCGCCGATGGAATTCAAATGGTAATGCATCGCATTCCACAATTTTGGGCCTACGACTGCAAATGAATTATCATACAGTGACTGATTTGCTGCTGAGCTGTGTCTGCATGCAGATGGAATGACTGCAAGGTTTCCAAAACGTAGCCTGGAGACAAACTGCACGTTAATGTCGTTGCTGGTATGGTGATGGAGAATCTTCTACATATGAAGTAAAATGAACCGCTCCCTGCGACGCTCTAGAGACATCAAAGATAGCCGTTGAAGACGGTCCCAATAATGGAGATCACGCATTCCAGTGATCCTTGCGGCGAAAGCTTTCTATACGCTTTCAAGCTCCTGGATGTAACATATCTTGGAGGGGTGCCATAGCGGGCAACAGTATTCCAGTAGACTACGAACCATCGACTTGTAACACTACTAGTTACCATAGTTACACTACTAGTTACCATAGTTACACTACTAGTTACCATAGTTACGCTACTAGTTACCATAGTTGCACTACTAGTTACCATAGTTACTTAGCATTATGACTGGATATCGGGTCTGAAAGACACTGAAAACCCAGGCAGCTTTTTGTCGAGCCTTGTTTGCTATGGTCTTTATGTGGGGTTGCCAAGATAGAAACCTAGAATTGGATGAATACTTTTCGTTTTTATTTATATAAACTGGCGAGAAATTCTGCAATTCCCATTATTTCAGGTTTGGTTTCAAAATCGTAGAGCGAAATGGAGGAAGAGGGAGAAACTACAGAACATAGCGTCCGGAAACAGCAGGTAACCAGTTAACCAACTAGCAAGATGGCTTGGCTAGCTGGTCAGTATTGCAGTTATTCTTGAAATTTCCGGTTGATTTCCAAACACGTTCTAAACCGGACTGGAATTAGAACCGGATATTGAAGACAAATATCCGGCCAGGACCGAAATTCAGCCGGATGTCCGATCAGTTCCTAAATGTTATCACTATCAGAGTGAAATTGAGTGGAAATTGAATTAAAAACTGTTAAATTGGTGTTAGTCCTGAGGGTAAAATAAAACTTTTGATTACGTAATCAACAGCCACCCCTCAAATGTATTGGATTTCAATCATAATCCTAGCAACGACCTGATACAGGATTATCATATTATATTGTTGTTTCGTCTGATTTCCAAATCATTATTCATTAAAACCGGGCTCCCTCAGCGGCAGTCACGTGACTACTCCTGGAACTGGGAGTCAATGTGAGAGTGCAGCTAGTAGTCCCTATCTCAACTCAGCCTGCTCCCCCTCCCCTAATACCGGTTACAAGAACAAGAGGACAACAACATTCTCTCCCCCGCCCTCCAGTGTAAATGCTCTGTTAGCTGCCAACCCCCTTCTCACATCCTGGTCAAACGTTCTACAAAATCAGTACAGGTTAGTCCAACCCTCTCAGAGCAAGGTTGTTAAAATAAATACGTCTAATTGTATTTGTAAGCTAAAATACGTATGTATTTTATCCTTATCACGCCTTAAAACGTCCGCGTGCGGCGATTGTTTTTTAAAATATGCTCAGACATTTTTAAAAAGCTTATCGGTCGAAATTAACTTTTATATTTTTGCACAAATTTACAGAATTAATGACGTCACGACTCACTCCGCTTGAATAAATAAGTGTGTATTTTGTAATACGTATTAATAAAAATAGGAATTTAATTTTAACAACCTTGCCTCAGAGAGTTGAGCGCCCAGCTGCCAGGTCTGCACAAAGAAGGGGACCCCTTACAGCGAATGAGAGAGGCTCTGGTGGGTAGAAGTGGTAATGTGGACATCTCCAACCACCCTCTTCTACTTAACTTCCCCTTCAAGGATCCACTTCTAGCTGTTTCCAGGTCGGTTATCTAGCAGAATTCTACAGATTAAGAGGACACTTATCAACATTTCTGAACTATCGATTTGAATTTAATTTTGGATCGAGTATGTTTGGTGTACTAGCATTACATTTACTGTTTCGTTGATTGTTACCATGGTTACAGCACTAATCTGTTCACAATCCTACTAGTACTATAACTGTATTTCTCAGTTCATCGCCAGTAACAACACTTGGGAACTTTGTGTCAGAAAGTACTAAAGAAGCGTTCTGAAGAAACAGCACTGTTTACCTAAGAAGCTGCTGATTATTATGGTAATCACAAGAAAGAGATGTGAACTGCCTTGTGACTCCTCGACCTTTCTACGATGATTTAATGAGTCTCAGGGGCCAGAAATTCAGCGAAGAGATAAAGAAGCGAGCACCTTGAATGTTAATTTGTGGTACTTCTTGATCACTTTACATCTTCTAGATTAAAGTTCATTGGAGAAATGATCGGAGCTGCAGTAGACTGTATTTTGATATGTTTATCGTTTAACGGGGAGGATGGTAACTTGTTTGCTTTGAAAGTGTATTTTTCGGAGAAAGCTATGAAGTTAAAGCAACGTTGATAAAATATTATTTATTGATTAACTTTATCGTGAATTTGCGTATAAGGCTGTTTGTGTATAAGATTCCAGATAAAATGTAAAATGTCGTTTCCGGTTTCATGTTCGTATAAAGAAATTTTATGTTGCCGTTGGCTAAAACGATGCTGAAAGTTTTCAGATTCCCTTTTAAAATCGAAAAATTGGTGTTATTATTTTTTTAAACTGAAAACTGCATGTTATGTTGAGCAGACTGTTCTAAAATATTGTGCATTTAAGACAAGAAAAATTTCACGCGGTGGTAAATCAGTGTTACTATTTTATTGACGGATGTTACTCGTCTAAAATTCTTCGAAGTAGCGCGCGCCGCTTTCTTCTCGAAATATTATACATTGGCCCGATGGCAAGTGCTACGAAGTAGCGTGCGCCGGGCCAGACCAATAACAATGGTCAACCATTTTATAGTTTTTAACATTTAAATAGTAAAGTTACGTAACTTTTGATAGTTTGATAATTCGGTGATAATTTCAGCATGGAAATATATCCTGAAGTTGTTATTGTTTTTTCCTTTGAAGACAAATAATCGACAGAACAAAAACATATTACGGCTTCGTGCGAGAAGACTTTGCATTTGGTTGTATCACGTCGTGACCCCGGCCCCATTGTCATTTCACTTAGAGGCGGAGCGAAAGTCACGATCAACGATAGTGATACAGTTGTCACACGTTGTAGGCCTCTGTATCGTAGAAACGGTACCACTTAGTGAAATGACAATGGGGGTCACGACGTGATACAAGTACACCTGCCTTAACGGGTGATACTTCAACTTGTAAAATATTTGTTTCAAATATTACTGTCGACGAGTCCAACTCGGCGCGCGTCCTGGAAGGTTATAAACCTACAATACCTGCCGCGCGCGAGTATTAGTGTGAAACGATAATGGAGGTCTCGACTCACGACGTGATACAAAAATGCAGCCGCGCACTCGTGCGTGCAGCAGGCATACAACGTGATATGGCTCCGGTTAGACTTTTTGATACACGATACATTTCCTTTAACGCTATGCTTAGTGCTTACCTGGGGACCTCAGGCTATTAGAGATTCGGCGGAATGGCAGGCTGAGCGCCGCCCAGTAATTTGTCGTATAATCATAAACAAGTTAATCTTGTTTTCAAGAATGCGCGGCTTTGGCGGCCAGTTATTGACTTATACATTAAATTGAATTTCAAATAGAAATGTGAATATATTAAAATTTAAAACTTTCAAAACGGAGGCTTATAAATATTATTATATTATGATTGTAAAATAAAGGATAAAATTTTAAATTTGTTTCACTAAAATTTGTTTCACTTCAATTTTGTAGCGCAATAATTTACTTATGTCCTAGGGACCCTATAAATGATAAAGTTATTATATTCATAAACATAAGAGACATCCGATAATATACTTGTTAGATGCCACCTGACTAACAAAATAAAAAGAGTTAACATGTTCATAGTCCTTCAAACGCGCATACTTAGGCTGTACGGAAATAGCTATAATTCTACGTCATATTAAAAATAGGTAGTGCGCCATCGACATTGAGCCGCGCGTGCCGACTGAAGGATGGTATTTAGCGCTAATTTCGGCCAGCACAAAATTCTTGAAACAAATGCGTATTGAGCTGAGTAACTTGCTCTACTAACCAGAGCCCTCTCGCTTGCAGTAGCGCGCGACAAGTATTCTACTTTTTTTTTTTTTTTAAATTTATTTTTTTTAAGAGAGGCTGGGCCAAGATAGCCCACGAGAGGATAGCATTGAGATGCTCTGCCTACCTCTGGGGTGTGGCAACCTTGGGGAAGGTTGCCGGTGAAATCAGAGTGATTGGTGGAGGATGGTGTAAGATGATATATGAGTCAAAATGATACGCTTAAATGCCAGCTGGGTTTGGAAAAGTAAAACGAGACGAAACAGCATTTGAGATAATACTTTAAGTCACCCCGGTCTGATCCAGTTCTTCCGGCACAATTAAGCGTTTGGTGCGGTTTGCGAAATTGACAATTGTGGTGATGTGTTGGTTGTCGAATATGTCATTGACAGAGAGGTAGTAGTCCTGGAAATATTGACCTCTAATTTGGGCAATAGCTGGACACTGTCCAAGGAAGTGTGAGACAGTTTCCTCTCCGTCGCCGCACATAGGACAAGCACTGGTGTTTGATTTGCAAATGGTGTGAAGGTGTTTGTTTAAGCCGCAGTGACCCGTGATGAGGTGAACTGCAGTTCTGTAATCTTGTCTGTTTTTGCTGAGTGTAGTGTTGAGGTTTTTGATGATTTTGGCATGCTTGTGGCCGAGTGTCAGTTTGGTGTGTCTGGGACCGTCAGTTAACCAAGTTTCCTGATTTAGTCTGTTGACTTTGTTGTCGATTTGACGCTTGATGTAGGATTGTGGAATTGGACACTTTAAAGTGGATTCACTGGTTGTACCAAGCTTGGCCAGCTCATCTGCTTTTTCGTTCCCCCACAATCCGATGTGTGCTGCAATCCATCGTATCTCTAGCGTGTTGTTGGATCCGAGTGCATTAAGAGAGTCGTAACAGTCTCTTGTAGTTCTACTCCGCGTTGAAAGCGCAGAGATAGCTTGTATAGATGAGAGACTGTCAGACCATATGATGATATGTGTGTTGGTATAGGTAGAGAGATATTTGCAAGCTTCAATGATGGCGGTGAGCTCTGTTTGGTAAACAGTGCAATAATCAGGGAGCTTGAATGATCTTTCTTCAAGGGTGGTGTTATTGTTGTCAGTTGTGATGATATAGCCAGCCCCGCATCCTGAGTCTGTGAGTGACCCGTCAGTGTAGCAGGTGATTGTTTCACTGGTAATGTTGTCAATGGTGTTTTGAAGTGAATTTCTATATTCAGTGGTATCGGCTCCAGGAGTTGTGACGGTGAAGTGCCGTCCCAGCATCATGGTTGGTGTTGTTAGGTCTCTTGTTGCTCTAGGTGGGATAATGAGGTCTGCCATGAATTGTTTGTTGATAGTGGTATGATTTTTGATAGTTCCCTTCCTGAAGGCGATAGTTTCAAGAGTGAGGCTGCCATAAGCTTGTAGCCTGGCCGCACCCTTTGCTGCTTCACCTTGCAGGAACAGTATGATGTCAGAAGTGTCGGTGAGGTGATTCAATGCGATAAAAGGTGTGCTTGGCATGGCACCAGACATCATTCTGAGTGCCAATGCCTGAACACGTTTGAGTTTCTTCGCGTTATAGTCCGTTTGAGTGGCCCTGATCCATATACTACAGCAGTAGGATAGGATTGGACGGATGACAGCCGTGTACATCCATTTGCATGTTTTGGGGCTCATACCCCATGTGGGGCCGACAGCTCTTCGACATTGCATGAGGGATGCCGTGGCTTTTTTGGTGGTGTTGATGATATGTTCATTGAAGTTGAGTTTGCTGTCCAAGGTCACTCCTAGAAATTTAGCAGACTTGGAAAGACCTATAATGTTGTTGCCAACTGTTATAGGTCTTAGAGTCCACTTACTATTCCAGGTAAACATGACTATCTGAGTTTTAAGGGCGCTAATAGATAGCTCTTTGGTTCTGCACCAATTTTCTATCGTTTTAATAGTTTTGCATGTTCGGTCCCAGATGATGTCTAAATCATCCCCTTCCGCTAGAGACAACAGATCATCCGCAAAGGCTTGCAGGTAACCCGGGATGTCTTTTGCGGTAAAGGAAAGGAGATCGTCGACTACCAGGTTCCAGAGAACCTCGCCTGATCCGTACCCTTCTCGACTTATCCTTATGATTTAGTGTGATGAATCGATTGGTTACCATGTTGATGATCCACTGTGCTGTAGCCAAGTCCACTTTCGTAGCCTTGACTGCTTCAGAGATAGCCTTGAACGAGACATTGTCGAAGGCGCCCTCTATATCTAGAAAGACACCTAGGACATATCCTTTCTTGGCTATTCTGCGCTCAATGGTGTGAGTAACTTTATGAAGTGCCGCTTCTGTGGAGCAGCCCTTCTTAAAGCCGAATTGTCGTTTGTTGATATCATTAGCTATGTTGAGGTCATGTTGCATATGCCATAAGATCACTTTCTCCTGCAACTTTAACATCACAGGCGAAAGAGTGATCGTTCGAAATGACTTAGCTTTGTTGTAGTCGGTTTTTCCAGGCTTAGGGAGAAAGATTCCAAGAGAGTCCCTCCACAAAGTTGGGATGTGTTGCGTTTCATGGTTTTTTGTCATAATGTTTTTTGTTATGTCTTTGATATGAGCCCAGGCTTTCTGGAATATGATAGGTTTTAGAGTGTCAGGTCCTGCAGCCTTCAAGGGATCGAAGGATAGGAGAGCCTTTTCGATTCTTTCAGGGCTGTAGATTTTGTCTAGTAAGTCTGTGGAGATGGGTAAGGGGCAGAGAGGCGGAACTGGCGGATCAGTAACACTCTCCTTGAAGTGGGTTTGTGTCATGACCTCCAGTGTCTCCTCTGCGTTTTTGGTGAGTTCGCCATTTGGTTTATAAATGGCTTCAAGTTTGTTATTGGTGTCAGTACAGGTTTTCAGAATCTTGTTCATCCTTCCAGATTCCTTAACCGATTCTGTGTCTGCGCAGAATTTCCGCCACGCATTGCGCTGGGAGTTGGACAGGATCTTGTTGTATTGCTTGTTGCTTTCTCTAAGAGCGAGCCACGAAGCATCAGTTTTGATTCGACGAGCTGTGATGAGTTTGCGTCTTATACCCCTCTGTGCTTCCTCAACTTCTCGAGTTAGCCAGGGTGGTTTTCTGACAGCGCTGGAGATGTAAGTAATGGGACATGCCTCCTCGAAGGCCGCTCGCAGAGCAGTATTAATGGTGTTAACTTTGTGATCAATGTCGTGTGGTGTGTTAACGCAGGTGTTGTGGAGATCATTGTTGTTGTAAAGAATCTCGTCAAATTTCGCCCAGTCAGTGTTCTTGACTAGGCGTATTTGTCTTGGTTCTTTTTTGGGACCAGAAGTAATGTCGAACATGATATATCTGTGATCGGAGTTTGAGTAAAGATCACTAACGTGCCAGTTACTGATCAGTTCAGCCCCCAGTTGGTTGGTAATAGTGAGGTCAATGATGGAATTATGACCTCGTGAGTTGAGGAATGTTGGAGTTGAACCTTTGTTGGAACAGGAGAGCCCTAGCGACGAGAGGAAATCAAGTAGTTCCTCTCCTCTTCTATTGCACA